CGACACACATAACTCCCATGAACCACCTCACGCCCTGGTGAAGTTTGGGGGAGGATGGACCATGGACAATGGGATTTGGAGTACCTTCACCCAACTCACTTCCCACGGAACACTGCGGCCCGCACACAAATCACAGACCAGGACCAAACTTGGTACACAGACCCCTCATGACCAACTTTACATCCTGGTGTGGTTTAGGCTAGGGCGGACCATGGATTATGGTACTTGCAGTACTTTCACTCACTTCACAATGCCTTTCTCAAATAACCAGGGCACCGCCGGGTCCCAAAGCTAGTAAATAAATAAATAGGAGTCCCCAGTAACGCAATGGGTTAAACCCTTGCGCTGGCAGGACTGAAGACCGACAGGTCACAGGCTTGAATCTGGGGCGAACGTGGATGAGCTCCCTCAGTTAGCTCCAGCTTCCCATGCGGGGACATGAGAGAAACCTCCCACAAGGAAGGTAAAGCATCACTAGGTCTTGCATAGTTAAATAAGCAAGGAACACTTTGGATATAATCAGTGACAATCTGCTCTCACCTGCTCTACATAGATCCCATCCAAGGTCTTCACCTCTTGCGCTGACGTCGAGGACTTGGGCTTGTGGTCCCCATAGCCCTGGGGAAAAAAGCACGGCAAAATAAGGTTGGACTAGATGGCCTTTGGGGCTCCCCTCACACCTTGGGATTCCACAATTCCGGCCGCCTCCTTTCTTACCAGCTCCCCAAAAGTCGGGGACGGACCCCAGCTGATGGTGCTCTCATCCGCGGCCACAATAACGCTGCTTTTCCTGCAAAAGAGGCACAGGGAAGGCCCGGCGTTAGGCTGCAAAGAGCGATGCCGTTCCGGTAGTCAATCCGATCGTTAAGAAGCAGAAATGGGAGGAAAGGCACCCCAAAAGGGCCCGTCTCTTACCCACAAGCCAGGCTACGAATCTTCCATCCGCAAAGGTCCTGCACGGTTTTGGGGTACATTGTCGAATCCCGGGAAGTGTTGGTAGCCCCCCAGAAGAACAACCCACCTGCAAAAAGGGGCGACAAGAGGGAGGGAGATGAGGATTCTATGCAAGATCCTATGCAAAACTTTCTGGAAAATATGTAAACACACCCCAAAAAACATTTAGTATAATGTCAAGTAACTTTGTGTTTTTAAAAATACATTACACTTCTGATATAACAAAAAAAATCCTTTGAGACAAGGCCATATAAACCGTAGCTGGGGGATGTCAGTCTGTAGGATCTAGATAGCAATATTAAATAACCACTCACAAGCTGTTTTGCTTTGAAATTGATATATTGCTTGTATCTCTGCAGCAAAGAAAGACACTACTGACTTTTTCCCGCCACCACTTCCTTTTATACACCTTTCCTGCCCATCTCCTCCTCTACTCAGTTTCCTTATTAGAACTTGTTGCTTCACAAGTTCCATATCTTGGTTTCCAGCATCCTGTGCTGGCTTTAGAATGTCACAGAGAGAATTGATTCAGTCAGGATATCACGGAGGGAATTTGTGATGTCTTCATGCAGTCGGAAATTGACTCCTGACAGGGGAAACCCTATAGCCCTGATGGCGAACCTATTTATTTATTTGCTTTACTTCTATACCGCTTTTCTCAGCCGAAATGGCGACTCAAAGCGGTTTACATAATACAAGTTATCACAACAATATCAAAAAGCAGTTAAAACACATTATACATGACATACAAGATAAAAAAAAATCATTATCATAATCGTAGCGCCTCAACAACAAATCAGAATCAGAATCCGTTATCATAATCCTTTGTACCATTTCCTATGTTCGATTGTACCATCTTCCTGTATTCAATTGCACTATTTAGCCAAACGCTTGTTCGTAAAGCCAAGTCTTGACCTTCCTCCGGAACGCCAACAGCGAAGGGGCCTGTCTGATGTCTACAGGTAGGGCGTTCCACAGCTGAGGGGCCACCACCGAGAAGGCCCTGTCCTTCATCCCCGCCAAACATGCCTGTGATGTGGGTGGGACCGAGAGCAGGGCCTCCCCAGACGATCTTAATGTCCTAGTCGGTTCATAGGTGGAGATGCGTTCGGAGAGGTAAGTATTTTCAATGACACGCGGTAATGACAAAGAGGTAAGCCATTTTCAATGACACGCGGCAGCATGCAGCCACATACAGAGAAGTATGGGGTTGCATGCCAAGTGCAGTAGACGAGGATGAAACATTTGCTGTAATGTATTATAGTCACTCTGTACCAGAGGTCTGTAGGCCAGAAGTCTGGTACAGAGCATCTAGTTCTGGGACTTCCAGTTAGGCTGTTAGAGAATCTTTGACTTCACTTCTGGCTGGTGGAGCAGGGAGCAGCGCAATGCCATGGGGATGCATCTTTGGGGGCCCTGTGATCGCCATTACCAGCAACCACATAACCACAGCAACCATCATCCAATCTACTGTTCTGGGGTGTCATGGATTTCTAATTGACCATCATTATTGAGATAAGTGAGGGGGAAGCTGGAAGAGGCAAGGGCCTGTGCTATGGGTGCCATTTCCCACCATCTTAATTTACATAACGCAATTTTGCAGCATAGTACAGACTCCATTTCACCACTATTACTGCTGTGCATCCTTATGAACCCCTATTTCTGCTTATTAACCCTGCCCTTTCCTAAAAGACAGTTACATGTGGCATCTTGTGGTCAGTTAGGCTAGCTATCCCCTAATTGCCTAAAGTTATACTATATATTGCAATTATACATTTTTGTTATTCAAACTTTAAATATCGTGAAATTATGGGTTTTTTTCTCAAAGTGACGCACTACCCAAGTTATGCTCAGTTTTTGGGCGAATTTTGACACACCAAGCTCAAAAGGTTGCCCGTCACTGCCCTATAGGAATACCTGTCTCACTGATGGCAAAGGAGCAGGTGTAACCAGCATAGATTTGCGCGGCCCCGCGTCCGGGGAAGTCGAACAGCTTCACGAGTCTCGGCACCATCTCATCCCTTTGTTCGGCGTGTCCCAGCCGCCCATATCCCCCGAACCCCCAGGAAAAGACGCGCTTTTGGGAGTCCAAGACGAGCTGAACAGAGAAGAGGAAGAGGAGGGTGAGTGAAGGAGCCGGAATGACAGCTTTCCATATATAAGCAGTCCCCGAGTTACAGACATCAGACTTACATGCAACCTGTGAAAGGCCTCCAGAGCCTTACCGTGTGGTTGGCCCCGCAGGCCACAGCTCTCACTACGACATTTGGAACGGGCAGGATTTGGCCATCTTTTGTCTTCTCAATAAAGATGGCAACACGGCGGGGAACCAGCTCGCAGTCGAACTCGATCCTCTGCGCTCGGGCAATGAACTTCCCGTCAGAGTTGTGCCCTGTTGATGAGGTAGATAGCCATCAAAGCTAAGAGAACCGCCCAGAAATGTAGTTGTTATGTAGGTAGGTATGTGTTGTAGCCTGGTCAGATTCTGAGTGCTCTGAAGATGAGGAAAGGGATGCTGGGATAGCTTCAAAGGGCCCAGAGGAGGATAGAAGTGGCCTAGGGAGATCAGGAAAGCCCCTTCTCTAGAAACGTTAAAAAAGGACCTTAAAACCTGGCTCTTCCGCTGCCCCTTTGGCGAGTAGGTGCACAATATGACATCATTGCACCCCTCAACGCTCTTCCCACTGCAATACACGCCCTCCAAATGGGAAGTTTAGCTTCACAACTATGTATGTTTTTACTAGTTCCATGCAAATAACTTGCTCCTACTTTTATCTCATTAGAGTCTTAGAATCGTTTTTATCCTGTACATGTGGCCTGCCTATTGTTATTGTGATTGTGCCTATTGGAATGTTATTTTATGACTGTGTTTATAATTTTTTTCTTGATGTAACTTGATGATGTTGCTTATTGTTTATGCTCTGGTTTTATTTTGTTGTAATATGTTGTCTGGGTTTGGCCCCGTGTAAGCCGCTCCAAGTCCCCATCAGGGAGATGGTGGCGGGGTATAAATGAAGTTTATTATTATTACTAGCTGTCCCCTGCCAGGCGTTGCTGTGGCCCAGTCTGGTGATCTGGAGAATAAAGTAATGAGAAAGTGTTGGTTTCTAATCTATGTAATTCTTTTCTGCTTGTGAGTAAACAGTATTTCTTGTTGTTTCTTTGTCAGTGTTGATGTGGAAAGTGTCTGGTTTGCCTACTCTGGAATATGCAACATATCAGAGTCCTTCTTTAAGGGTCTCTTTCAAATCTGTGGTACTATATCTGTGTGTGTGTGTGTGTGTGTGTGTGTGAATCATATCTATCTATCTATCTATATTGATGACTGGATGGTTCTATGTCAGGAGGGCTCTGATTACATTTCCTTGCCCTGGTGAAGAGAGTTGGACTTGGTGGCCTTAAGTATTTTCTGTTGGTCATGGGGGTTCTGTGTGGGAAATTTGCCCCAATTAGGTCATTTGTGGGTTTCAGAATGCTCTTTAATTGTAGTGAACTATAAATCCCAGTAACTATAAATCCCAAATGTCACGGTCTATTTCCTCCAAACTCCATCTGTGCTCATATTTGGGCATATGGAATATTCGTGCCAAGTTTGGTCCAGATCCATCACTGTTTGAGTCCACAGTGCTCTCTGGATGTGGGTGAACTATAATTCGCAAACTCAAGGTCAATGTCCACCAAACCCTTCCAGTGTCGCTGAGTAACACAGTTCTCATGCCGGCTGAGAGAAATATAGGAGACGAATGTTTTCTAGGTCAAGGCGCTTGGAATTGCAGAGACAGGGCATGCAACAAAGACAGACTCGTTTTTCCCAGAGGCTTAAGAGATAAGGAGAGGAAGAGCAAGTGTATGAGAAACGATGTTATGGGAGAGATTGAGGCTTAACTCTATCTACCTTTATCTACGTATGGTAAGACTAGATGAGCTTTGGCATTCCTTTCCAACTTTAGGACACTAGGATTCTATTATCTATCTATCCATCATCTATTTATGTGTCTACCTATGTACCTTAGGGTTGGAATGGATGGGCTTTGGGGCTCCCTTCCAACTTTAGGGCACTAGGATTCTATCTCTCTCTCTCTCTATCTATCCATCATCTATTTATGTGTCTACCTATCTACTTTAGGGTTGGGCTGGATGGGCTTTGGGGCTCCCTTCCAACTTTAGGACATTAGGATTCTATCTATCTATCCATCATCTATTTATGTGTCTACCTATCTACCTTAGGGATGGACTGGATGGGCTTTGGGGTTCCCTTCCCAGAGGCTTAAGAGATAAGGAGAGGAAGAGCAAGTGTGTAAGAAATGATGTTATGGAAGAGACTGAGTCTTAACTCTATCTACTTTTACTCTACCTATGGTTAGACTAGATGAGCTTTGGCATTCCTTTCCAACTTTAGGACACTAGGATTCTATTATCTATCTATCCATCATCTATTTATGTGTCTACCTATCTACCTTAGGGTTGGACTGGATGGGCTTTGGGGCTCCCTTCCAACTTTAGGACACTAGGATCCTATTGTCTATCTATCCATCACCTATTTATGTGTCTACCTATCTACCTTAGGGTTGGACTGGATGGGCTTTGGGGCTCCCTTCCAACTTTAGGACACTAGGATCCTATTGTCTATCTATCCATCACCTATTTATGTGTCTACCTATCTACCTTAGGGTTGGGCTGGATGGGCTTTGGGGTTCCCTTCCAACTTTAGGACACTAGGATCCTATTGTCTATCTATCCATCACCTATTTATGTGTCTACCTATCTACCTTAGGGTTGGGCTGGATGGGCTTTGGGGTTCCCTTCCAACTTTAGGACACTAGGATCCTATTGTCTATCTATCCATCATCTATTTATGTGTCTACCTATCTACCTTAAGGTTGGACTGGATGGGCTTTGGGGTTCCCTTCCCAGAGGCTTAAGAGATAAGGAGAGGAAGAGCAAGTGTGTGAGAAATGATGTTATGGGAGAGACTGAGTCTTAACTCTATCTACTTTTACTCTACCTATGGTTAGACTAGATGAGCTTTGGCATTCCTTTCCAACTTTAGGACACTAGGATTCTATTATCTATCTATCCATCATCTATTTATGTGTCTACCTATCTACCTTAGGGTTGGACTGGATGGGCTTTGGGGCTCCCTTCCAACTTTAGGATACTAGGATTCTATTATCTATCTATCCATCATCTATTTATGTGTCTAGCTACCTGATATAGTGATGCCTTTGGCTTTCTTAAAGTGGAAATGACTTCATTCCTTTCCAATGGTTCTTTGTTTACAACTTTTGTTTTCATGCACAATTTTTTACAAATGCCCTTCAGACTCAACTTATGTGAAACATAAATTAATGTTATATTTAGCAGTGGGCACTATTTGAAATCTAGACATTCCAAAATAAAAAAAAAATATCCCGAATCCCGAACACTTTTGGTCCGAAGCATTTTGGATATGTGATACTCAACATGTAATAACAGTAGTAGTAACAACAACAATAATTTTAGTGGTTGAGATATTAACGCTGTGGACTTTCCAGGCAAAAAGCCTCAGGATATTATTATTAATATATTAATTAATAATAATAATAATTAATAATAATAATAATAATTAATAACTAATAATAATAATTTAAGACAATAATTTAAAACATAATAATGGTAAAAATCATAATCCTACTACAGCCTACCTAACTGGCCATACTCAGGACATCCGAACGAATAGAGGTTTCCCTTGCAATCCATGACCATGCTGAATTCGGCCCCGCAGGCCACCTTGGTGATTGGCTGACCGTTGTACATGATCTAAGAAATACAGAAATATTATTTTTTCTCTCTCCATGGAATGAAAGGAAAAGAACACCCTTTCCAACCAATTAAAAACAAAACAAAACATGCATCTTTACAATTTTATGTCTATCTATCTCATTAGCAGTATTATATTAAATATATTAGTATTATTATTTTTATATATTACTAGCCGTCCCCTGCCACGCGTTGCTGTGGCCCACATGGGGGTTCTGTGTGGGAGGTTTGGCCCAATTCTATCATTGGTGGGGTTCAGAATGCTCTTTGGTTGTAGGTGAACTATAAATCCCAGCAACTACAACTCCCAAATGTCAAGATTCTATTTCCCCCAAACTCCACCAGTGTTCACATTTGGGCGTATTGAGTATTCTTGTAGAGTTTGGTCCACATCCATCGTTGTTTGAGTCCACAGTGATCTCTGGATGTAGGTGAACTACAACACCCAAACTCAAGGTCAATGTCCACCAAACCCTTCCAAGTTTGTGCCAAGTTTGGTTCAATTCCATCGCTGATAAGAGTTCAGAATGCTCTTTGATTGTAGGTGAACTATAAATCCCAGCAACTACAACTCCCAAATGTCAAGATTCTATTTCCCCCAAACTCCACCAGTGTTCACATTTGGGCGTATTGAGTATTCTTGTAGAGTTTGGTCCACATCCATCGTTGTTTGAGTCCACAGTGATCTCTGGATGTAGGTGAACTACAACACCCAAACTCAAGGTCAATGTCCACCAAACCCTTCCAAGTTTGTGCCAAGTTTGGTTCAATTCCATCGCTGATAAGAGTTCAGAATGCTCTTTGATTGTAGGTGAACTATAAATCCCAGCAACTACAACTCCCAAATGTCAAGATTCTATTTCCCCCAAACTCCACCAGTGTTCACATTTGGGCATATTGAGTATTCATGTAGAGTTTGGTCCAGATCCATCATTGTTTGAGTCCACAGTGATCTCTGGATGTAGGTGAACTACAACACCCAAACTCAAGGTCAATGTCCACCAAACCCTTCCAAGTTTGTGCCAAGTTTGGTTCAATTCCATCGCTGATAAGAGTTCAGAATGCTCTTTGGTTGTAGGTGAACTATAAATCCCAGCAACTACAACTCCCAAATGTCAAGATTCTATTTCCCCCAAACTCCACCAGTGTTCACATTTGGGCGTATTGAGTATTCTTGTAGAGTTTGGTCCACATCCATCGTTGTTTGAGTCCACAGTGATCTCTGGATGTAGGTGAACTACAACACCCAAACTCAAGGTCAATGTCCACCAAACCCTTCCAAGTTTGTGCCAAGTTTGGTTCAATTCCATCGCTGATAAGAGTTCAGAATGCTCTTTGGTTGTAGGTGAACTATAAATCCCAGCAACTACAACTCCCAAATGTCAAGATTCTATTTTCCCCAAACTCCACCAGTGTTCACATTTGGGCGTATTGAGTATTCTTGTAGAGTTTGGTCCAGATCCATCATTGTTTGAGTCCACAGTGATCTCTGGATGTAGGTGAACTACAACTCCAAACTCAAGGTCAATGTCCACCAAACCCTTCCAAGTTTGTGCCAAGTTTGGTTCAATTCCATCGCTGATAAGAGTTCAGAATGCTCTTTGGTTGTAGGTGAACTATAAATCCCAGCAACTACAACTCCCAAATGTCAAGATTCTATTTCCCCCAAACTCCACCAGTGTTCACATTTGGGCGTATTGAGTATTCTTGTAGAGTTTGGTCCACATCCATCGTTGTTTGAGTCCACAGTGATCTCTGGATGTAGGTGAACTACAACACCCAAACTCAAGGTCAATGTCCACCAAACCCTTCCAAGTTTGTGCCAAGTTTGGTTCAATTCCATCGCTGATAAGAGTTCAGAATGCTCTTTGATTGTAGGTGAACTATAAATCCCAGCAACTACAACTCCCAAATGACAAAATCATAATTTTTTGAGTGATGGTCACTCCTTGTGTTGTGAGACGTTTTGTTGCCAAATTTGGTGTGATTTCGTTCATTGGTTCTTTTGTTTTTAAGGCACTCAGAGCATTTTTATATATATAGATTATAGTATGCGAGACTGACTGCTGCAAAGAATTGGAAAGATAAAAGGGAGATATCCTTGTCTCTCCAATAGCCAAGCAGACTAATTTAGAGACCCATGAGTTTCCTCTTAAACGCAAGCAAGCAAATGCAAAACGGCAATGACTTGCATGCCTTACCTGTGTGGGGCTGGGAACCGCGTCGGTTTGGTTGCCGAGGCCCAGTTGTCCCATCTTGTTTTCTCCGAAGGCAAACACAGATCCATTCTCTGGAATCCAAAGACGGCAGGGAAAATATTTATTTATTTATTATTTATTTAGAAGTTTTCTATACCGGACTTCTCACCTCAATGAGGGACTCAGGTCGGTTTACGGCATATATGAAAGTACAATAATATATAAGTACAACAAAGTGCAAAGTCATTACATACTAAAAAAGTACACTAAAGTACAATAAAAACATCATCATCACAATTACCTAAGCCAAGTCGTCAATCCAGTCATAGCCATAGTCATAGTCACAGTTCATCATCCTCCTTCCTTGTGGACGGAGGTTATAGATTCAGTCCTCGAATGCCACATTCCAGAGCCAGGTCTTTAGTAGTTTCCTGAACGTCAGGAGGGAGGGAGCAGATCTGATCTCTAGTGGGAGGGAGTTCCAAAGCCGGGGAGCCACCACCGAGAAGGCCCTGTCCCTCGTTCCTACCAACCGCGATTGCGAGGATGGTGGGACCGAGAGCAGCCCCCCCCAGGAAGATCTTAATAGCCTAGGGGAGAATCCGTTTGGACAGGTAAACTGGGCCAGAGTCGTTTAGGGCTTTATAGGTCAAAACCAGCACTTTGAATTGTGCACAGAAGCTAATCGGCAGCCAGTGGAGCTAGTGTAACAGAGGGATTGTATGGTCTCTGTACCCCGCTCCTGTTAGCAATCTGGCTGCCGCACGTTGGACTGATTGAAGCTTCCGGGCAGTCTTCAGAGGCAACCCCACGTAGAGAGCGTTGCAGTAGTCTATACGGGATGTAACCAGAGCGTGGACCACTGTGGCCAAGTCAGACTTCCCAAGGTACGGGCGCAGCTGGCGCACAAGTTTTAACTGTGCGAATGCTTCCCTGGTCACCGCTGAATCCTGGGGTTCCAGGCTCAGCAACGAGTCCAAGATCACACCAAAGCTGCGAACCTGCGTCTTCAGGGGGAGTGTGACCCCGTCTAACACAGGCTGTAACCCTATGCCCTGTTCGGCCTTACGACTCACCAGGAGGACCTCTGTCTTGTCTGGATGCAACATAGACTCGCTTTTCCCAGAGGCTTAGAGATAAGGAGAGAAGCAGGTGTGTGAGAAATGATGTTATGGGAGGGAGTGAGGCCTTTTAAAGTGGTTTCTTTGGAAAATGATACATGCAGAATGCAAAAAAATAAAATAAAAATCTGAACATTGAATTCCCCCATGCAACCAGAATTTTATTTATTGGGCATGTTCGATTCAGAGATATTTAGAGATACTAATCTTGAAAAACTATTTCCTTTCTTTGCGACAGCAGCTAGAATCGTTTTTGCGAAATTTTGGAAACAGGACATGATCCCTTCAAAGACAGATTGGTTAGAGAAAATAGTGGACATTAAGTTCATGGACGAACTGACATTTTGGCTAAGGCAAAATAATGGGTAAGGCATGAAAATGACAGATTGGAAAGTTCTAGAAGAATATACGAAAAAGGATTATTGAAATTGATAAGACCAATGAAATGCTGGAGGAATTTTTTTTTGATATTAGAATTTTTCTTTTTCCTCTCATAATGCTTTGTTCATTGAGAGGAATAGGGAAAGATAATAAAAATTATGAAAAGATGAAAAAAGAACGGAAGTCGAACTTTGTTTTAATTTTTCCTTTTTTTTCCTTTTTCTTCTTTGTTCCCCCTATTTGTCTCTGTGTTGTGTTGGGTAGTAGTGAATTGGTGATTGTATTTTAATTTTAATTTTTCAATTTTTTCTTCTTTTTTCCTATTTGTCTGTGTGATGTGTTGGGTAGTAGTGAATTGGTGATTGTGTTTTAATTTTACTTTTTTTCCATTTCCCCCCTATTTGTTTGTGTGATGTGTTGGGTAGTAGTGAATTGGTGATTGTGTTTTAATTTTACTTTTTTTCCATTTCCCCCCTATTTGTTTGTGTGATGTGTTGGGTAGTAGTGAATTGGTGATTGTGTTTTAATTTTACTTTTTTTCCATTTCCCCCCTATTTGTTTGTGTGATGTGTTGGGTAGTAGTGAATTGGTGATTGTGTTTTAATTTTTCAATTTTTTTCTTTTTTTCCTATTTGTCTGTGTGCTGTGTTGGGTAGTAGTGAATTGGTGATTGATTTTTGGGTGTATCTTATACTTCATTCTTCACTTTATTTCTGTTATATTATTTTATATCCTTTCGTGTAATCATCAATAAAAATTATTTTTTTAAAAAGTAGTTTCTTTGTGAGAGTGACGTTGCATTCAGGTGAACAGCTCTCGGTTTTTGGTCCTATGTTCTTGGAATTCATGCATTCAAGTTTCTAAAGTCGTTGTTGCTTCTAGTTCATGTATGGCATAGGTTTCCTGTTTTGGATTCATGTTATCTTGTTTATTTTGTGGACTGACTGTGTTTGAAAGGATTTCGGACTCTCAACTACCTTGGAAATAACCTGTCGAACTTTGATTCTCTTTTTTTGCATTTGTTTATGTTTTATATATTCTTTAAATAAACTTTTACTTACTGGATTAACTAGACAGAGTGTGGTTTGTGGTGAGAAGGTGTTTCAGGTCTCAAGTGTAACAAAATGCAATCCACTCATAGCTCTACCTGTCAGGGTCAGTGTGTGGTTTCGTCCGCAAGCGGCCAAAACGATGGTTTCGCTACTCAGGACGTCGACGGGTTTTGGGGCATCCACTCGCTTGGTGTCTCCGTGGCCAAGCTGGCCTTTGTCATTGCGCCCTAGGAAGCCACAGAAACATATATTATTATATATTTTTTGTTTATTAGAATATACAATTAACCATAAAAAAGAGAAACAATATCTAAATCAATAATTGAGCATGTTCACATTTTGCATAAGTAAAGGTTTTCTATTTTATATTGTTGTGTCGTTTTATTATATTGGTTTTCTATTTTATGTTATGCTTTTGTGTTATATTGTGTGTATTGTACTATTTTATTTATCGTGTCATCAGCAACCATTGTATTACAATTCTAACAGAGCAAAACAAACACACAGATTAAAAAGAAAAAGGGGGAAAAAACACACAGATTTTGCAAATTTGGTAGTTGGTTAAATGTCCTTTGACCAGTATCTGGCCACTTGGAGTGCCTCTGGTGTTGCCGCAAGAAGGTCCTCCATTGTGCATGTGGCAACCAGAAGCGACTTGCAGCATGCAAGCAAGCAAACAAGAAGGTCCTCCATTGTGCATGTAGCAGTGCTCAGGTTGCATTGCAGCAGGTGGTCAGTGGTTTGCTCTTCTCCGCACTCGCATGTCGTGGATTCCACTTTGTAGCCCCATTTCTTAAGATTGGCTCTGCATCTTGTGGTGCCAGAGCGCAGTCTGTTCAGTGCCTTCCAAGTCGCCCAGTCTTCTGTGTGCCCAGGGGGAGTCTCTCATCTGGTATCACCCATGGATTGAGGTTGCTGGGTTTGGGCCTGCCACTTTTGGACTCTCGCTTGCTGGGGTGTTCCAGCGAGTGTCTCTGTAGATCTAAGAAAACTATGTCTTGATTTAAGTCTTTGACGTGCTGGCTGATACCCAAACAGGGGATGAGCTGGAGATGTCTCTGCCTTGGTCCTTTCACTATTGGCTGCTACTTCCCGGCGGATGTCAGGTGGTGCAATACCGGCTAAGCAGTGTAATTTCTCCAGTGGTGTGGGTGCAGACACCCTGTGATAATGCGGCATGTCTCATTAAGAGCCACATCCACTGTTTTAGTGTGGTGAGATGTGTTCCACACTGGGCATGTACTCAGCAGCAGAGTAGCATAGCGCAAGGGCAGATGTCTTCACTGTGTCTGGTTGTGATCCCCAGGTTGTGCCAGTCAGCTTTCGTATGATGTTGTTTCTAGCACCCACTTTTTGCTTGATGTTCAGGCAGTGCTTTTTGTAGGTCAGAGAATGGTCCAAAGTGACTCCCAGGGATTTGGGTGTGTTGGAATGCTCCAGTGGGATTCCTTCCCAGGTGATCCTCAGAGCTCAGGATGCTTGTCTGTTCTTGTATTGTACTGTTGGGCGGGAGATGGAGGGGTATAAATAATAATAATAATAATTATTATTATTACTATTATTATTATAAGTCTAGTCGTGTCCGACTCTGGGAGTTGGCGCTCATCTCCATTTCTAAGCTGAAGAGCCAGCGTTATCCTTAGATGCCTCCAAGTTCATGTGGCCAGCATGACCGCATGGAGCGCCGTTACCTTCCTGCAGAAGCGGTACCTATTGATCTACTCAAATTTGCATGTTTTCGAACTGCTAGGTCGGCAGAAGCTAGGCCTAACAATGGGAGATCTCCCTGCTCCCCGGATACGAACCGCCAACTTTTTGGTCAGCAAGTTCAGCGGTTTAACCTGCTGCACCACTAGGCTTTTATCTTTGCATAATAGCGTACCTAAAATTACAATTTAAACCTTTAAACTCATTCGGACGAAAGAACAAAACGGTCCGTTCGGAAAGACCCCCGTTTTCGGAAGCATACGAACGAAACAAACCGAAACGGAGAGCGATTCCACACAACGAATATAGTTCCATTCCACGAAAGAAGAGTCACGGTGAGAGCAAGGAGACAACTCACCCCAGCTCCAGAGCTTGCCTTCGGAGGTGATGAGGAGGCTGTGAGCAGAACAAGGGCCCGACACCACCGTCCGGACCTTGACCCCGGAAAGGCAGCCGTACCGGTGGGGACCCCACAGGTTCTGGCCCAGGTTGCGGTAGGCGGCTGCGGGGAGGAGGAGAAAAGATCCCACTTAGAAAGACGTATGCAAGGGAAGGTCCTTCTCGTTGGTTTGAGACGATTGGCGGCGCACCCACCTTGCTGCTTAGGCACTTCTTTGCGTCCGATCAAGTCCCAGTTGGTCGCGCCGAATATCAACAGCTGCCCCTTGAATTTGGAGCCTTCCAGCTTCTACAATGCAACACAAAACAATATATATATAGATGTTATCGAAAGCTTTTTGTGGCTGGAATCGCTGGGGTGTTGTGTGGTTTCCGGGTTGTGCGGAACAGGAGAAAATGCTGGTAGAACACATTGGCCACAGAGCCTGGGAACCACACAACAAAAGGTATAACACACAAAAGGCACACAAAACACACAGGAGGAAAGAAGGAAGGAAGGAAGTGTAGGGGCAAAGGAAGGATGTAACACATGGCATGCACAACACACAGAAGGAAGGAAGGAAGGAAAGAAGGAAGGAAGGAAGGAAGGAAGGGAGAGGGAAAGGAGGTAAAATGTGTCGCACACAACACAAGGAAGGAAGGACGGGAGGAAGGAAGGAAGGAAGGAAGGAGGAAAGACATGGTACACAAAACACACAGGAAGGAAGGAAGGAAGGAAGGAGAGGAGGAGGAAAGACATGGTACACAAAAAGGAAGGAAGGACACAAGGAAGGAGAAGGAAGGAGAGGAGGAGGAAAGACATGGTACACAAAACACACAGGAAGGAAGGAAGGAAGGAAGGAAGGAAGGAAGGAAGGAAGGAAGGAGAGGAAAAGGAGGTAGCATGCGTCACACACAACACAAGGAAGGAAGGAAGGAAGGAAGGAAGGAAGGAAGGAAGGAAGGAAGGAGAAGGAAGGAAGGAAGGAAAAGGAGGAGCATGTCACACACAACACAAGGAAGGAAGGAAGGAAGGAGAGGGAAAGAAGGAAGGAAGGAAGGAAGGAAGGAAGGAAGGAAGGAAGGAAGAGAAAGGAAGAGAGGAAAGGAGAGGACACACAACACAAGGAAGGAAGGAAGGAAGGAGAGGAGGAGGAAAGACATGGTACACAAAACACACAAAAGGAAGTAAGTGTAGGGGCAAAGGAAGGAGGTAACACACGGCATGCACAACACACGAAAGGAAGGAAGCAAGGAAGGAAGGAAGGAGAGGAAAAGGAGGTAACATGTATCACACACAACACAAGGAAGGAAGGGAGGGAGGAAAGAGAGGGGGAGGAGGTAACACATGGCACACATGACACATAGAAGGAAGGAAGGAAAACATGGCACGCAAAACACACAGAAGGAAGGGAGGAGAGGAGGAGGAAAGACAGGGTACACAAAACACACAAAAGGAAGGAAGGAAGGTGGTAACACATGGCACACACAACACACAGAAAGAAAGAAGGAAGGAAGGAACATATAGGAACACACAGAAGGAAAGATGGATGGAAGGAATGAAGGGTTGGGGCGAAGGAAGGAGGTAACACATGGCACACAACACAGAGAAGGAAAGAAGGAGAGGAAAAGGAGGTAACATGTGTCACACACAACACAAGGAAGGAAGGAAGGAAGGAAGGAAGGAAGGAAGGAAAGAAGGAGAGGGAGAGGAAGTAACAGGTGGATGGAAGGAAGGAAGGAACACATGGCACGCACAACACACAGAAGGAAGGAAGGAAGGAAGGAAGGAAGGAAGGAAGGGAAGGAAGGAAGGAGAGGAAGGAAGGAAGGAAGGAAGGGGAAGGAAGGAAGGAAGGAAGGAAAGAAGAGAGGAAGGAAGAAAGGAAGGAAGGAAAGGAAGGAAGGAAAGGAAGGAAGGAAAGGAAGGGAAGGAAGGAAGGGAAAGGAAAGGAAGGAAGGAAGGGAAAGGAAACAACACAAGGAAGGAAGGAAGGAAGGAAAGAAGGAAGGAAAGAAGGAAGGAAAAAGGAGGTAACATGTGTAACACACAACACAAGGAAGGAAGGAATGAGAGGAGAGGAGGTAACACATGGCAAACTCAACATGAGGAAGGAAGGAGAGGAGGAGGAGACAATGCATGGCACACATGACACACAGAAGGAAGGAAGGAAGGAAGGAAGGAAGGAAGGAAGGAAGGAAGGAAGGAAGGAAGGAAGGAAGGGAAGGAGGAGGAGGGAACACATAACACCAAATACACATGGAAGGAAGGCAGGGGGTAACACATGACATACACAACACACAGAAGGAAGGAAGGAGAGAAAGAGGAGGTAACACATGGCACACACAACACATGGAAAGAAAGAAGGAAGGAATGAAGGAAGGGAGGAGAAGAGGAGGTAACACATGGCACACACCACACATGGATGGATAGATGGAAACCTAGTTTGCGGCAGCCACAAAAGCAATATTTCTGGAGTTGAACGACAACTTTCAAAGTAAGAACAGCACAATTACACAGGAAACAACATTTTCAAACCGGGGACAGAACATTTTTCAAACATTGTTACACAGTGTTAGGATGTTCATTGATTTCGACTGAGGTGCGTTAGGGACACAAATATGGGTTCCCTAACGTCTCCGCCTGCCCAAACCTTTCCCCCTTCCCCGCATCCTCCCGTACAATGCGCTCCTTGCTGTGCTCGGGCTCGTTGACCACCACGGCCGCCGGGTGGTGGGGCTGCTGCTGGTTCTGGGAGTCCGCTCCGGCCCCTCGCCCCGCGGCCCCTCCCCGGCCGGCCTTCTTGGCCCCTCCGGCCGTCACGGGGGTCGCGGCCAGGCCGTCCCGTTCGTCTCCACTGCTGCTCCCTTCTCCGCCGTTGTTGCTGCTACTGCTGCTGCCTCCGCCGCCGAGATCTCGGGCGGCCTTCTTCCTGGCCGGGGGAGCCCCGCCTCGAGCCGAAGCGGGGCGCCGGCGGGCGGCCCCCGTCCCGTTCCCCGAACTGGCCCTGTCCCAAGCCGTGGAGGCCACCTCCACCGACGTCGTCTTCCGCCGGGGCATCCTTCACGACCCTCGCAAGGGGAAGTTGCGGCGAACTGTGAGAGAAGTAAGGTTGAACACTGTGAAAGCCACGCACCGCATCGTGATCAGCCCCTTCCCAGTAGACGTAAATCAAGGGAACGCTTCAGGAGAACCACCACTGCTCGTAACGTCCCCCCAGCAAAAGCAAGAGTCTCCCTCCAGGAAACCCCAACTGGATGACCCCCCGCCAGAGAGGGTCTTCCTCCCCCCAAAATGGGCAACATGGAAGTCCCCCGAGCAGACTCAGAAGCGGAGCGGTCACGTCAAAAGACAACCCGGCAAAAGGCACAACCAAAAGGAATCCTATAACTTGTGTGACTGTGGAGCAGAACAGACAACTCCGCCTCTGTGTGCTTGTCCACTACGCCCTGCCTCACGTACAGAGGAAGAATTGTTGGAGGCTACAGACAATGCCGTCGCTGTTGCCCGTGAAACTGTGAAAGCCACGCACCGCATCGCGATCAGCCCCTTCCCAATAGACGTAAATCAAGGGAACGCTTCAGGAGAACCACCACTCCTCGTAACGTCCCCCCAGCAAAAGCAAGAGCCTCCCTACAGGAAACCCCAACTGGATGGCCCCCCACCAGAGAAGGTCTTCGTCCCTCAAGAATGGTCAACGTGGAAGTCCCCTGAGCAGACTCAGAAGCGGAGCGGTCACGTCAAAAGACAACCTGGCAAAAGGCACAACCAAAAAGAATCCCACACCTTGTGTGACTATGGAGCAGAACAGACAACTCCGCATCTCTGTGCTTGTCTACTACGCCCTGCCTCACGTACAGAGGAAGAATTGTTGGAGGCTACAGACAATGCCGTTGCTGTTGCCCGTTTTTGCTCAAAAGATATTGCGCTCCTTCTATGTTGGATAAGAAGACTCAAATAGTAATAATAATAGTAATAGTAATTATAAGAGACTGAAACATCTCCGGCAATATGCATATTAATACATGTTGCGAGGCATATGAACCACATCGCCCTGGAGGGTAAAGACTCGAGAATTAAAATATATATTAAATTATAAATGCTGAAGAGGGAACCAGACGCACCTTCGTCCCGTATAAAATCCTCCCAAAATTTGAGAGAAATAAATCTTCCAAGATGAAATAGATAATTTGGTGGCCTCAAATTATCCCATATTATTATTAATATATTATTATTATTAATATATTATTATTATTATTATTATTATTATTATTATAAAAATTCAGATTAAAAAGGGGAGACATGGTGTGAGATGATGATGATGACTATATTTGCTATTATCATATTTATTATATTGGGAGACACGGGATGAGAAATTATTATTATATTAAAGATATTATTTTTGATATTATTATTTCTCCCTCAAAAGAGATCATTGTTGTTGTTATTATTCTCCTTCAAAACGAAATTATTATTGGTATTATTTTTATTCTTCCCACAAAAAGAGATTATTATTGCTATTGTTATTATTTCTCCCTCAAAAGGAAATTATTATTGCTATTATTATTTTTATTCTTCCCACAAAATATATTATTATTATTGCTATGATTATTTCTCCCTCAAAAAGAAATTATTATTGCTATTATTTTTATTCTTCCCACAAAGAGATTATTATTATTGCTATTATTATTATTTCTCCCTCAAAAATAAATTATTATTGCTATTATTATTGTTATTATTACTTCTCAAAGATTATTATTGCTATTATTATTTCTCCCTCAAAAAGAAATTATTATTATTGCTATTATTATTTTATATTGTCCTCAAAAAATATTATTATTTCTCCCTCAAAAAGAGATTACTGCTATTATTATTCTTGTTGTTAATAATATAAATATCTATATATATAATAAAAGAGAATGTTTGTATCGGACAGAGGAAGGAGTATGTGGCAGCGTTCTGATTGGCTGCCGCTGCGGTGCTATTTGCATATGGTCTCTGATTGGCCACCTTCAATAGGAGCCCCTGGTGGAGAAGAGGGCTCATGGCAGAAACGGGGCATGACAGAAGGAAATTTGCATATGGTCTCTGATTGGCCAGCCTCAAATCCAACATTCCGAGATGAGAAAGAGAGGAAAGGAAAGGCCGGGGCCTGGGTCAGAACACTCCCAATACAGACCGAAATAGGCACACAGAGCCCCCATCACCCACTCTACATCCTACTGCAGTTTGGAGGAGTATGAACCATGGATGATGGGACTTGCAGTACCACCACTCACATTCTGAGACCGCTGTTAACCTTATCCAATGACTGATCAGGACCAAACTTCGCACAGAGACCTCTCATGACCCACTTTACGTCCTGGTGTGGTTTGGCGGGGATGGACCGTGGATTATGGGACTTGCAGTACCATTGCTCATTCTTCAGACCACTGCAACCCTCATCCAATTACCAAAAAATACCAAACTTGGCACACTGAGTCTCCATGACGCACTCTACATCCAGGTGCAGTTTGAAGGAGGCTGCACCATGGACGATGGGACTTGCAATACCTGCACTCCCTTCCTAAGACCATTATAACTGCCAACAATGATGGATCAGGACCACAATTTACACAGAGAGTCCGCATAACTCACTCTACATCCTGGTGCGGTTTGGAAGAATTTGACAATGGATGATGGGACTTGCAGTCACTTCACTCACTTCCTGAGACCACTGAGACCCACGCCAATGACTCATCAAGACTAAACTTGGCACATGGAGCTTCAATGACCCACTCTACATCCTGGAGCAGTTTGGAGGACGACAGACCATGGATGATGGGACTTCAAGTACCTCCACTACCCAAGACTGCTGCAAAACTCATCTAATGACCAATCAAGACCAAAGTTGGCACACAGAGCCCCCATGACCCACTCTACATCCTGCTGCAGTTTTGGAGAAGGGTGGACCATGGATGATGGAACTTCCAGTACCTTCACTCACATTCTGAGACCTCTGCAAACCTCATCCAATGACGGATCAACACCAAACTTGGCACATAGACCTCTCATGACCCACTTTACGTCCTGGTGTTATTTGGAAAACTTTGGAGATGGATGATGGGACTTGCAGTACCTTTGCTCATTTCCTGAGACCACTGAGACCCTCGCCAATGACTAATCAAGACTAAACTTGCCACATGGAGCTCCAAAGACCCACTCTACATCCTGGTGCAGTTTGGAGGAGGACAGACCATGGATGATGGGACTTCAAGTACCTCCACTCCCTTCCAAAGATTGCTGCAACCCTCTTCTAATGACCAATCAAGACCACACTTGGCACACAGAGCCCCCATGATCCACTCTACATCCTGCTGCAATTTGAAAGGGGATGGACTTTGGATGATGGGACTTGCAATACCTTCACTCACTTACTGCCACCACTGCCACCCTCATCTAATGACTGATAAAGACCAAACTTGGCACACAGATCCCCCATGACCCACTCTATATCTGCTGCTGTTTGTAGGAGGATGGCCCATGGATGATGGGACTTCAAGTACCTTCACTCACTTCCTGAAAATAATGCAGCCGTTATCCAAAGACCAATAAAGACCAAACTTGCCATACAGAACCGCCATTACCCACTTTCTCTAATAACCCGGGCAACGCCGGGTCCCCAAGCTAGTATGATATAAATATAAATGTAATTACAAAATAATTATATAATATAAATAAGTATAAACATAATTATAAAAATATTTAAAAATAAAATAATATAAATATAGGAGTATAAATAATATGGGAATAAAACAGAATTACAATAATATTAATAATAATACAGTATAAATATATTTATAAAATTATTTAGAAATTAAAACATCCCCAAAATTAGTTCTGTGCGGAGATTACTGCTATTATTATTATTATTGCTATTTATAATATAAATATAGGTATAAATGTAATTACAAAAATAATTGTAAGTATAAATATAATTATAAAAATATTTAAAAATAAAATAATATAAATATAAGAGTATAAATAACATGAGAATAAAATTATTACAAAAATAATTATATAATATAAATAAGTATAAATATGATTATAAAAATAATTATAAGTATAAATACAATAATAAAAATATTTAAAAATAAAATAATGTAAATATGAGTATAAATAATATGAGAATAAAATATATTCACAAAAATAATTATATAATATAAATAAGTATAAATATGATTATAAAAATAATTACATTAGAAGTATAAATATAATTATAAAATATTAAAAAATAAAATAATATAAATATAAGTATAACTAATATGAGAATAAAATATAATTACAAAAATAATTATATAATATAAATATAAATATGATTGTAAAAATAATTATAAGTATAAATATAATTATAAAATATTAATAAAATAAAATAATATAAATATAAGAGTATAAATAATATGAGAATAAAATATAATTACAAAAATAATTATATAATATAAATATAAATATGATTGTAAAAATAATTATAAGTATAAATATAATTATAAAATATTAATAAAATAAAATAATATAAATATAAGAGTATAAATAATATGAGAATAAAATATAATTACAAAAATAATTATATATATAAATAAGTATAAATATGATTATAAAAATAATTACATTATAAGTATAATGTAATAATAATTTTTTTAAAAAATAAAATAATATAAATATAAGTATAAATGAGAATAAAATATAATTACAAAAATAATTATATAATAATAATAAAAATATTTATAAAATTATTTAAAAATGATAACACCCCCATAATTAGTTCTGTGCAAACTGGAGACTTTATGCAATATACAGAACTGAGCAATATATATAATAGTAATAGAATTGGAAGGATAAAAGATAATATAATTTGGTGCAAATAAAATATATTATCTTTGCAAAAAGCAAAATATTCCAAAATCCTGGCCTAGGCTTCAATGCAAAACTTTAGCTTTTGGAAACAGAGGTTATTAATAAGCAATAATAATAATAATAATAATAATAATAGAATTGCAAGGAAAAAAGATAATATTGTTGTTGTTCATTCGTTCAGTCGTCTCCGACTCTTCGTGACCTCATGGACCAGCCCACGCCAGAGCTCCCTGTCGGCCGTTACCACCCCCAGCTCCCTCAAGGTCATTTGGTGCAAATAAAATATATTATCTTTGCAAAAAGCAAAACATCCCAAAAACCTGGCCTAGGCTTCAATGCAAAAACTTTGCTTTTTGAATTGGAGGTTATTAATGCACAATAATAATAGAATTGCAAGGGAAAAAAAATTATATAATTGGGTGCAAATAATATATATTAACTTTGCAAAAAGCAAAACATCCAAATTTGGCCTAGGCTTCAATGCAAACCTTAATGCATGGATTCATACTTAATGCAAACTAAATATTGGAAAAAAATAAACTAATATATGTCTTTGTTTATATTGCAATCAAGAGGAATTAAACTTTGCAATAAACAAAGGCATTTAATCCTTAGACCTCCCACTTTTTCTTTCTTTCTTTGGGTCTTGTTTGCAAAGAAAGAAAGAGTTTCCCCCTTCCAAATATAATCCATTTCCTTGCCCTTAATCCCCAACACCTGCTTCTCCTTCTTTCCCTCTTTTCCTATCCTTTCTTTTCTAAAAAAAGAAATGGACACCAATGTAGAAAGTGTTTGGAGATATATATATAGGGAGAAAGAGAGAGAGAGAGAGAGAGAGTTTTCCTTGCAAAAATTAATATAGATAGATAGTTTGGATGTTTATTTGCAAACTTTGGATGTTTACTTGCAATGCAAGATCTTTGCAAAAATTATATATATTTATATACACACACACACACACATACATGCACACAAACTTTGGATGTTTACTTGCAATTGAAGATCTTTGCAAAAATTATATATATGTGTGTGTGTGTGTATGTGTGATATTTCTTTGCAAACTTTACTTATAAAAATTATATACACACACACACACACATACCCACAAACTTTGGATGTTTACTTGCAAAAAGTATATATATACACACACACATACATATACACACAAACTTTGGATGTTTACTTGCAAAAATTTTATATATATATATATATATATATATATATATATATATATATATATATATATATACACATACACACACACACACACACATACATATACACACAAACTTTGGATGTTTACTTGCAAAAATTATATATATATATATATATACATATATATACACACACACACACACATACATATACACACAAACTTTGGATGTTTACTTGCAAAAATTTTATATATATATATATATARARATATATACACACACACACACACACATACATATACACACAAACTTTGGATGTTTACTTGCAAAAATTWTATATATATATATATATARATACACARATATACACACACACACACACATACATATACACACAAACTTTGGATGTTTACTTGCAAAAATTATATATATACACACACACACAGATACATATACACACAACTTTGGATGTTTACTTGCAATGGAAGATCTTTGCAAAAATTATATATATACACACACACACATATACACACATACACACAAACCTTGGATGTTTACTTACAAAAAGTATATATATATATACACACACACACACACACTCAAACTTTGAATGTTTACTTGCAAAAATTATATATATATATACACATACACACAAACTTTGGATGTTTACTTGCAATGGAAGATCTTTGCATATATATATATATATATATATGAAGCATTTTGATATTTCTTTGAAAAATTTGGATGTTTACTTGAAAAAATTATACACACACACACATATATATATACAACTTTGGGGGTTTACTTGCAATGCAAGATCTTTGCTATATGAGAAGCGTTTGGATGTTTATTTGCAAACTTTGGATGTTTACTAACAATGCAAGGTCTTCTTTGCAAATGTATATATATAGATAAGAGTTTTCCTTGCAAAAATTAATATAGATAGTTTGGATGTTTCTTTGCAAACTTTGGAGGTTTACTTGCAAAGCAAGACCTTCTTTGCAAATATATATATACATAGACAAGACAGTTTTCCTTGCAAAAATTAATATAGTTTGGATATTTGCAAACTGGACGTTTACTTGCAATGCAAGGTCTTCTTTGGATATATATATATATATATATATATATATATATATATATATATATATATATATATATATAAAAGTTTTCCTTGCAAAAATTAATATAGTTTGGATTTTCTTTGCAAACTTTGGAGGTTTACTTGCAATGCAAGACCTTCTTTGCAAATATATATATATATATATATATATATAGAGAGAGAGAGAGAGAGAGAGAGAGAGATAGACTAGATATTTATTTGCAAGCTCTTTGGATGCTTCTTTGCAATGCAAGACCTTTGCAAATATATATATATATATATATATATATATATATATAGAGAGAGAGAGAGAGAGAGAGAGAGAGAGAGAGACTAGATATTTATTTGCAAACTCTTTGGATGCTTCTTTGCAATGCAAGATCTTTGCAAAAAATAAAATGCACTTTGTTTGCATTGTTGTCTCCCTTTGGCTGCTTCTTTGTGCTTGTCTTTTTGTTGCCTCACTTTTGAGTTTGTTTTTTTTTTGCAATGCCAGACCTTTGCAAATATATATTTACATCTAGAGAGAGCTTTGCTTGCTATCTCAATCTACAGAAAGAGTTTCAAGACTTACCTCTTCCAAAGGTCTTCTTCTTTGTGTTTGCAATTGCTGCAGCTCCTTCTTTGTATCTTCTTTGCCTCACTTTGCAATCCAAGGATCTTCCTCTTTTGCAAAAATTAGTAAATTTTTCCCCTAATAAGATTGGGTCCACATCTTATTATTATTATTTTTTCCAAAATATTATTTTGTATTTTTTTCCCTCCTTCTTTGATTTCTTTTCCAGCCTTGCCTTCTTCTTCTTTCCCTCCTCCTCCTTTCTTTTTTTGTCTGCCTCTTTCTCTTCTTCTTTTTTTTAGGTTTGGAACAATGGGACCTCTGTCTGTCTCGGATTAAACCACGTGGATCCGCTTTGGAGAGGAAAAAAAAAGAGCAACCCCCTTTTTGGGGGAAAAAAAATATAAACCACCTTCCAAAATAGAACAGAATGCAAACACTTTTGCAAAGCAACTCTTCTTTCCCCACCAAATCCAAATCCAAATTGCAATTGCAAACTAGAGTTTTTGCAAAACCAAACAAATGCAAAATATTTTGCAATGTTTATTATTTGATATTTCTATGTATTTATTCCAAATAAACCCAATTTTTTCATATTTTGCACCACTTCCTGTGCAAGGAGGAGGAGGAGGAAGGGGGAAAGGCCCTCCCACTTGCAATATAAATATATGCCACTCTCTTGCAGGACAAAACAGAAACACATGGGGAGAGAGCAAGAGCAAAGGAAGAGGAAGGAGAGAAGGAGGAAGAAAGGAGCCCACAAGGAAAGGAGGCTTCCTCCAAGAACAGCACCCTCTCCAGGCTTGGAAGACCCAGGGTGCCCAAAGCAGGAGTCCCAGGGCAAGCCCTGCAAGCTCAAGGCAAAGGGATTATTGCAGAACAACAACAATAACAATATGCAGCATGCAGTTATTGCATCTTTAGTTACTTAAGCACTGCCTGAACATCAAGCAAAAAGTGGGTGCTAGAAACAATATGATACGAAAGCTGACTGGCACAACCTGGGGATCACAACCAGACACAGTGAAGACATCTGCCCTTGCGCTGTGCTACTCTGCTGCTGAGTATGCATGCCCAGTGTGGAACACATCTCACCACACGAAAACAGTGGATGTGGCTCTTAATGAGACATGCCACATTATCACGGGGTGTCTGCGCCCTACACCACTGGAGAAATTACACTGTTTCACTGGTATTGCACCACCTGACATCTGCCGGGAAGTAGCAGCCAATAGTGAAAGGACCAAGGCAGAGACATCTCCAGCTCATCCCCTGTTTGGGTATCAGCCAGCACGTCAACGACTTAAATCTAGACATAGTTTTCTTAGATCTACAGAGACACTCGCTGGAACACCTCAGCAAGCGAGAGTCCAAAAGTGGCAGGCTCAAACCCAGCACCTCAACCAATGGCTGATACCAAATGAGAAACTCCCTCCTGGGCACACAGAAGACTGGGCGACTTGGAAGGCGCTGAACAGACTGCGCTCTGGCACCACGAGATGCAGAGCCAACCTTCAGAAATGGGGCTACAAAGTGGAATCCACGACATGCGAGTGTGGAGAAGAGCAAACCACTGACCTCCTGCTGCAATGCACCCTGAGCCCTGCCACATGCACAATGGAGGACCTTCTTGCGGCAACACCAGAGGCACTCCAAGTGGCCAGATACTGGTCAAAGGACATTTAATCAACTACCAAGTTTGCAAAATCTGTGTGTTTTTTTCTTTTTCTTTTTAATCTCTGTGTTTGTTTTGTTCTGTTAGAATTGTAATGATGCCGAGCATCTCCCTCCCCCCCTCCCAAGTATTTATAGTTCTGCCAAGGGCAAGGACACCAGACTACACAGCAAGGGTTAAGTCTTGGCCACATTGCCAAGGCACTGACAACAACAAGGACCCCATGAGGTTTTTTGGGAAATGGCTGGACCTTGGGACTTCTGCCCTTTTGTGGGAGTTGTAGTTCCCCAAGGGCTGAGCGATGGATTCTGTTATTGATCAACTCAGCGCCCATCTGCTGATTCCAGCCTGAATCCATGACTCTCTGCTGAGTGGACTGGACTGTTTGCCACAACCCTGGCCATGAACTTTCTATCAATGCTTGATTTGAACTGCTAGCAACCTCTGCTTCCACACGCCCTTCCTAAGAGCATGGGATTTCCAGTTTGGACCTTAATAAAGATCAAATATTGAAATAAACTTTGCTGGGGATGGGGATGGGGTTTGCTCATGAAATATATGAAATGTATGGAATGTATATAATGAAATATCATATGGAATGTACTCTGATTCCCCTTCCCGCCTTTCCCTCTGATCCTTGCCCCAAAAAGAATGTGACCTGGGGATTACTGCCGTAGAGAGGAACTCCTTTGTCCTCCCGAAACTGTTCATGTTTACATTTGCATGGGCCGTGATGTTGATTCCTTCCTGATCCTGACTTTCAGAGCAGACAGTTAGGGGAGGGGGAGTCAACAGAAACTCAGGAAGAAAAGACTGATTAAATCATTTTTGGGTATTGTTGATCCCCCCTTTTCTGAGGTCCAATATCCTTGAAAGCTCCTTTTCATATTTCCTCCCAAATCCCATCACAGACCAGGAAGCTCATTGTTCCCCTATCTAACTCCCCGCCACGTAAGAACAAAGCCACACATTCCAGCTGGCAGATGCCCCAAAGGCTGTCATTTCCACAGACTTTGTCAGGCTTCGTCCCGCCTCCTGGCTGCCGATTGGTCCATCTTCCGAGGCGCTAGGAAGGCACTGATTGGCCCCCTAGAGGCAGCGGAGCCCACTGATTGGTCAGGAGGCGGGGCGTGCCGCCAAGCCTCCTCCCAGCTGTTCCGCGGCCAGCCAATCAGAGCGAAGCCGGCCGGCAGAGGGCGGGCGGGATTTTTGAAACTGTTTTCCTTTGTCTGTGTACTATAAAAATGCTTGGAAATTCTGTAAAATTATGCTTGCAGTGGAATGATTCCTGCAATGCATCTGATCTCAGCTGAATCACGAATAAACCTCGGTTGCTGGAGAACTTCTTCCACCTTGATGAGGCATTATTATTTGTAATATTTTTACTCTTTGGATTGGCTCTCGCTGGCCTCACCAAGGGTCCGGGCCCTTTTGAGCGGTCCTCAGGGATCTCCTCCGCCGGGAGACCCTACTAAAAGCAGCTCGATATCAGTAACACAATGGTATGGTTGCTGATGACACGATAAATAAAGGGCATTCTGAACTCCACCAACAATGGAATTGAACCAAACTTGGCACACAGGCCTCCCATGACCAACAGAAAACACTAGAAGAGTTTGGTGGGCATTGACCTTAAGTTTGGGAGTTGAAGTTCACCTCCATCCAGAGATCACTGTGGACTCAAACAATGGAAGATCTAGACTAAACTTGGCACGAATACTCCATATGTCCAAATACGAACACGGAGTTTGGGGAAAATAGACCTTACCATTGAACCAAACTTGGCACACATAACTCCCGTGACCAACATAAAATATTGGAAGGGTTTGGTGGGCATGGACCTTGAGTTTGGGAATTGTAGTTCACCTCCATCTAGAGAGAACTCTGGACTCAAACAATGATGGATCTGGGCCAAACTTGGCACAAATATTTCATATGCCCAAATACGAACACAGATGGAGTTTGGGGAAAATAGACCTTGCCATTTGGGAGTTGTAGTCGCTGGGATTTATAGTTCACCTACAACCAAAGAGCATTCTGAAACCCACCAACGATGGAATTGAACTAAACTTGGCACACAGTTCTCCCACGACCAACAGAAAATACTGGAAGGGTTTGGTGGGCAGTGTCCTTTGGTTTTGGAGTTGTAGTTCACCTGCCTCCATAAATCACTGTGGACTCAATGATAGATCTCGACCGAACTTGGCACTGATACTCAATACGTCCAAATGTGAACACTGGTGGCGTTTGGGGGTTGTATTTGCTGGGATTTATAGTTCAATCAAAGAGCATTCTGAACACCAATGATGGAATTGAACCAGTCTTGGTACACAGAATTCACATGAACAACAGAAAATACTGGGTTTAGTGGGCATTGACCTTGGGTTTTGGAGTTGTATTTAAATCTAGTCCAGTCGCTCAGTCCTCTGTGTGCCCAGGGGGGAGTCTCTCATTTGGTATCAGCCATTGGTTGAGGCTCTGGGTTTGAGCCTGCCACTTTTGGACTCTCGCTTGCTGGGGTGTTCCAACAAGTGTCTCTGTAGATCTTAGAAAACTATTTCTAGATTTAAGTCGTTGACGTGCTGGCTGATACCCAAACAGGGGATGAGCTGGAGATGTCTCTGCCTTGGTCCTTTCACTATTGGCTGCTACTTCCCGGCGGATGTCAGGTGGTGCAATACCGGCTAAGCAGTGTAATTTCTCCAGTGGTGTAGGACGCAGACACCCCGTGATAATGCGGCATGTCTCATTAAGAGTCATATCCACTGTTTTAGCGTGGTGAGACGTGTTCCACACTGGGCATGCATACTCAGCAGCAGAGTAGCACAGCGCAAGGGCAGATGTCCTCACTGTGTCTGGTTGTAATCCTCAGGTTGTGCCAGTCAGCTTTCGTATGATGTTTCTAGCGCGCACTTTTTGCTTGATGTTCAGGCAGTGCTTCTTGTAGGTCAGAGCACGGTCCAGAGTGACTCCCAGGTATTTGGGTGCGTTGCAATGCTCCAGTGGGATTCCTTCCCAGGTCATCCTCAGAGCTCGGGATGCTTGTCTGTTTTTGAGGTGAAAAGCACATGTCTGTGTTTCAGATGGATTAGGGATCAGCTGTTTTTCCCTGTAATAGGCAGTAAGAGCACCTAGAGCTTCAGAGAGCTTCTGTTCAACCATCTCAAAGCTCCCTGCTTGAGCGGTGATGGCATGATCGTCAGCATAGATGAAACTCTCTGTCCCTTCTGGCAGTGGCTGGTCATTTGTGTAAATGTTGAACATGGATGGAGCAAGCATGCTCCCCTGAGGCAGGCCATTCTTCTGTTTTCTTCATCTGCTTCTCTGATGTCTTCACTGTGTCTGGTTGTGATACCCAGGTTGTGCCAGTCAGCTTTTGTATGATATTATTTCTAGCACCAACCTTTTGCTTGACAGTCAAGCAGATCACAGGCGCTGTCCTTCATAGACCTGTCAGCGGCTTATGATACTGTGAACCACCGCCTCCTCCTGAGAAAAATGTAGAATATCACAAAGGACGACCACCTCACCCGCCTCATAGGAAACCTGCTACAAAACAGGAGCTTTTTTGTTGAGTGCCAGGGCCAGAGAAGCAGATGGTGGAAACCAGACTGATTAAGACCTGGCAAATAGAGAGAGGGAACGTGGAGGCAGTGACAGGGTTTGTAATTTAAGACTGCACTTCCCAGTTGGTTCAGGCAAAACCAAACTGCTGTGGCTTCTCCTGATTTTGTGTCTTTCCTCATTAATAACTTTCCCCACCTTGGCCTGGTTTTCTTCCTTGGAGGGGATGGGTTTACTCTACGAACCCAAATCCAGCCTCGGGCTGCTAAACGAACACGAAACCTCCAACGTTGCGTCTACAGAAATGTTTTCAGCGATTCAACAAGTCTGGACAACTTC